CAGCTTTCCATTCCGACCCGTAGTGTGCACCGCCAGCAACGTGAAATGGCGTAGCTGTGACGGGTGGTGACGGTCGGGGAACTGGCGTTTATTAACTGAGCACTGGTGCCAGGCTTCATGCTCAGCACTTCCCATACTTTATTCTCATTTAATTTGCATCCCAGCTCAGAGAACTCGGCGCTGTCATCTCCATTTTACAGGGGAGGAACAGGAAACTAGGCCACCAAAAGTTGGAATGACCTGCTTAGTGTCATGCTTCACGTCAGCATGGTGCCAGAGCTGATACCTTGCTGCACGAGGTTGGTTTAATCAGCTTTTTGACAGAAACTATTTACATCAAGAGAAAAAGAGCCCCTTATAACAGTGGAGTCCAGCCCCATTTACATAATATTTTTATGAGCCGTCTTAATCCTTCCAATGTGCTGATGAGGTAGATGGTCTCATTATCCCTGCCTTGCATTTCTTCCTACGAATGGCAGTGTGGTGATCGATGCGGCTTGTGATGCCTTGGAGGGACTGTGGAATGTTAACCTAAGGAGCAGGCGCTGGTCATGTGAACTCTGTTTTTAGTTCAGCCTTTGAGTGTTGTTTTGATGTTCTCATGGAAGAGATTGTTCTCTTCTGAGTTTTCAAACGGGGCTTGATCCACTCACGGATATACATTTTTCTCACGAGGACTTGGAGCATCATATGTTTTTTCAGTGGGCATATCTCAAAATGGATGTTCGTTATTTGGAGGACATTTCAAAATAGCATGATATACTGATCTAGAAAGTCAGGAACCTAGAGGTGGGATTGTGCGTTGCAGTTAATTAGCTCTGTGACTTTGAGTGAGGCCTGTGACCTTTCTGGGCCCCGGTTTCCCATCTTAACTCTAAGGGGGTGGGATGTTCAGTAAGGATATATTAGAATTTTTTTTTTAATCTGTTTTGAAAAGTCAGTAACACCCTGTTCTTGAAATGTTTGTTATTCAGTAATATATTTACACATGTCAATTTTTGTTGTAAATGTAGGAGCGGTTGCATATGGTACAGGAATTGGGAGACAGATGAGAAGCCACTGGAAAACTACTTAGGCTCTGTCTCCCCTGTGACAAGAGAATGACGTGCTGTGTTGATATATTTCATCTTAGGGCCTAGGCTGTGTTTTTGTCAGATTACTAAATCTCAAGAATTTGGTTTTGTCAGCCATCCTTCCTTGCTTGCTTCCTTCATTTCTTCCTTTCTTTTCAAATAATGCAGGCAAAAGGCATTAGGCAGGTCTGAGCAAGGAGGCCCAGTGAGACCAATGAGCAAATGTATCGAAGGTAATGGGAGCCAGACTTTGAGCTGTCTGAGAAGAAAGTTACAAATATGAAAAAGGAGAAAGCTAGCCCTGGCTGGTTTGGCTCCACCGTTAGAGCGTCGGCCTGTGGACCAAAAAGTCTCAGGTTCGATTCCAGGCAAGGGCACGTACCTTGGTTGCGGTTCGTCAGCGTCTTTGGTGGGGGTGTTGTGGGAGGCAACCAACTGATGTGTCTCTCTCACATCGATGTTATTCTTTATCTCTCTCCCTCCTGCTCTATCTGAGGATAAATGGAAACATATCCTCTGGTGAGAATTAAAAAAAAAAAAAAGGAGAAAGCTAGAGTGAACCCTGAGCTATGAACTGGAATTTGAGCTATTGTGTGAACTCAAGAATTTCAATATGTAAAAATTAGATAAGTAGAAATTCCAATATAGAAACAAGTAGAAAAGTTATAGTTTATATATACTTGTGAATATGTACATATGCACATGTACACAAATGAAACATATCTATGTGCTAACTCTGCTCCCGGAAAGGGCCAGGATGCAGTGACATCTCAGTGAATACATGAGGACATTTATTGTCCAGATCTCACTCTCTAAATACCAGTCTTTGCTAAAAGGAACCAGAAGTCTTTGAAAAAATGTCTAGTTCTAGGGCTTGGGGAGGGAAGGTGCAAAATGAGTTTTGGATATCTTGTTGTGCAAGAAAATATAGATGTTTTCAAAGAATGATGTAAAGATGCCAAAAGAACAGAGCAGCCAGCTTGAAGGACTTCCCACGAGGCAAACCTGGGAGTATCCGAGCATCAGAACAGTAACGATATTGTAGGTTATATCCACAAAACAAAGGCATCCAGGTAGCCATACTGATATAAGTAAATGCATGAGTAAGTGGCAGAAAGTGAAAGCTGCTCCTTAAAATAGAATGCTATCTGATAAATAGAAAGAATGTTGAGATTAGAAAAAGGGTGATTTGGCAATCATCATCATCATTCAGGTAAGACACATCAATGGACGCTAAAGCTAGTGAGTGAAATTTGGATGAAGATCAGGGTATTTGTATAACGAAGATCTGTCCACAAATCCTATTATCAAGGGTAATAAAATAACTCTACTAGAGAGACTTGGAAGATTCTACCTTAGTCAAGTGATCAAAGTTACTGTCACCAGTGATGTGAGAAACTGACATCCTGTGTCACTTGATGGGATGTAATCAGAAGGACACAGCATTAGTTCCCCAAAATGTAATCCTTGAGTTTGCTCTTGAGAAAATCTGGCTAGCAGCAGTGTGAGGGCATTCTGCAAAATAATTAACCAGCAGTCGTCAATAATGTAAGCTCAGTGAAGGTCCAGGAAGAGCTGGGTCTTGCTCCAGATCCAATGAGACTGAACAGAGAGGACATCTAAGTACAAAGTGTGATCCTGGACCAGATGCTTTGGCTAGAAAGACCATTATTCAGGTGGTTGGCTCAACTTGAATGGAATATCTGAGTGAAGAGAATATGGAAGTTTTTTTTTTAGCAGTTCCTACAACTTTTCTGCAAGTTTGAAATAAAAAGTTCAATATTCGTATAGGAATGCTTAAGTTTTAGTTTTTTTTTTTTTTTACTCTATTCTACAAAGCAAAAAGAAATAGTTTCTGAAATTTATTTTATTTGTGTAAGAATCTTGTAGGGTTTAACCATTAAATCAGACTTTCAGCTTTGGATTTTTGTGAAATTATTGTAGAGAGAAGAATATAGTTTCATTGAATCGGGGTTTTAATTGGCAGGTGGTATAGTTTTTATACCTCCACAAATTCACTCAAATTTGACTGAGAGAAACATCAGAACATTAGAGTGTCTTAGGGTCAACACTATGAATATCATAATAATAGTGAGACATAGTAGACTAGTGTGATTATGAGTGGGTGTTCTGGATTCAGGCAACCTAGGCTCAAATCCTGCTTCTGCCACCTACTAGATGCATGACATTAAGCAAGTGAACTAACCTCTGTTTCTCATCTTGTTGGTAAAATAGGATCTATATCATGGAGATATTGTAAGGACTATGTTACTATTACCAGTAAAGTGTGTAAAGGGTATTTGGTGGAGTAAATGCCGTGCAAGTGTTTATTATTATGATTGCTACTATTGCTACTGCTACCATCATATCTGTATTTTATGTAAAGACTAGAGAAGCCATTGGGAGAAATACCATTGGTAGTGGAAAATTTGTTCCCTCCTCACACAGGAGGATAATAAGATCTTGTACTGATCCTTTACAGTGCTTCTCTGATCCCCAAAGCTAGCCCCTACCCTTAAATATACCTTAGGATTTCCTTACTGTTTTATAAGGGGGAGGCCACACACATTTTAAATGTTCAGGAAGAAAAGTGGAAATAAAGATAGGATCAAAGCAAAATACAAAGAAAACAAGATTGAAGAAATCAGAATCAAGATCCAAAGGAAAATCTTTGCTTTGGCAGAAATACCTAGGAAATATAATGACTGCAGGTCTTATTTCAAGTTCACGTATTGAATCTCAACATGTTTACATATTTGCAAATGTAAGTAAATGTATTCACCCAAAGGAACCAGTTCCCACAGAACGTCCCTGAAGGGCGGGGGCTGTACTGAAAGGCAGTGTCGTCTGTGATGCCCTCAGCACCCTGCCAGCTGCTCTGGGTTCTTAATGACTTCCTGTCCTCAAAGGGTTTTTAGTCAAGTTCATGACATATCATATATAATGCTTAAGAAGATTAAGCATTATGCATTTTTATTTGTCTATACTGTGCTTTTATCTTAACAGAATTTGAGAAAACAGAATTATTCATTAGCCTAATAAGGGCCAAATTACCCAGGATAGACCAGCGTTAACCAAAGTATGAAGTAAAGGAGAGACCAGTTGGCAGAGTGAGAAGAGAGAGACGCTGAGCAGTGCCTAAGGAATGGGCAATGAGTGACTAGTCGGAGAGAAGAAAGCACACTGGCAATGGAAGGGCTGAGGGTTTAACATGCGCTTTCTTTTCTCATTGATATGAAATTTTAGAACTATACACATATTAGTGGGCAACTAGTTGAGCAAACTCAGGCATAGCTGATCTTGAGAAACATCTCAACACATAGCCCATTAGCTGTAGTTCTGCTTACAAAGTAAACCCTAGTTCCCTCCTCCTAATTCAGTCTCTTTTCTCTATGTCATCCTGATTTGGAATATTTTGAATTGTGGATCACACTTAGGTATTTTTAGAGACACTAGCAACCAAAGGGGGATAAGTCTAGACTTCCTCATACCATCTAGGCTTCAAGTGCCTTTGGAGTATTGTATCTGGATGTATGTCAAGGCAGATTGTGTAGTGATGAACAACTTAGGAACTACAACCAGAATCCCCGAGTTCAAATCCTGGCTCTGATATATATGAGTTACTACATTTTTTTTTCCATCTATAAAAGAGTATTGGATGAAGAAACAAATGAGGGTACATGTGCAAAGTACCTGCTACATAAGAAACTTTCAAAAAAATCTGAACTATTACATATTTACATATTTGTCTAATAAGTAGAAATCTATTACATATTTGTCTAATAAGCAGAAATCAAACACTACGCTACTTTTGGAAGACTTGGGACATTTAAATGACCCAGTAGTAACCAGACAGCATCATCTTTTTTTTTTTTTTGGTCTTCACACAGTGCTCTAATAAATCACCGCCTTCCCCCATAGGTACAGTCATCTGGTGGCGTTATTCCATTTTCATCATCCATGGAGACCTAGATCCTGATTTGGAAGTTTTTGACAAAATGTTCAGCATCTGACTTAACATCATCATTACCAATGAAGGTAAGCTAATTTTATTCATTTCAAAGCATGAGAAATAAAAACATGTTTTTATCTAGAACACATCAAAGTAGATTCTGGTTTTTTAATGTTGAACAATTGGGAAGACAAATTAAAAAAAAAAAAGATACAGTGAATAATGAGAAAAACTCGTTTTCCCTTACGGTTATGAAAAGCTTTATAAAAGACATGCTCATATCAATTTTTTAAATCTATAGAACCTAGTTGTTGAAATATGATAAAATATGAGGGAACGACAAATAAACCAGGAAGGTGCTTACCGCCTGGACTTGAACCAGTGATAAGCTGAATGGGAACGGCTTGGAGATGCAGGCGTTGCTGTCCAAAGCAGCAGGACATGACATGAGAGCCTGTCACCCTCCAGTCCAAGGATCTCAGAGGCTTGACAAAAGACAAAATCTCTTCTGAGACCCCACTGCTCATTTGGTGCCTAAGTCGATTGTTTTCTTGAAAGAAAATCTGTGAAACTTTCAATAACTGGCTTACTTTCTAAGTTAGAGATGCTAGCAACCAAAGGGGGATAAGTCTTTTCCTTCTTTGTAGAGGCTGATAACCTCCTCCAATCACCTCGCACTTCCTGCCCCACCAACTCGCTGCTTATTTGTCTCATGGTCAGGAGAGAAGCGTTGGCTGTCAACTCCCTTCGCTTCTGTCTCTACAACCAGAGCAGGCTGCACCCGCCCTCCGTGTCTTTGCCCGAATGCAAGGTGGGCCACCCCTCAGTCCCACTCAGTTCCCTGCTTTCTGTGCTCTGGAACCCACGTCAACTTCTCCTTCTCTTTATCATCTACCACTCTCTCTTTTCTTTTTATCCTCACCCGAGGACATTTTTCGATATTATGTTCAGATAGAGTGGGAGGGAGGGAGAGAGAGAGAAACATCTACGTGAAAGGGACACATCGAGTGGCTGCCACCCACGCAACCCAACTGGGGCCAGGGACAAACTGCAACCGAGGTACGTGCCCTTAGCAGGAACCGAACCCGGGTCTCTCCAGACCACAGGCCGACGCTCTAACCACTGAGCAAACTGGGCAGGGCTATCATCTACCATTCTTGCCACGTTTTCCTTCTTTCTTTTCATCTGCTCATCCTTATTTCCTTTTTTCTCTTTTTAGTTGAGATATAATGTCTATGTCTCAAAATTCTCCACTTCAAAGTGATAATTTGGTGGTAGTACATTCACAAAATTGCAAGACTATCACCATGATGTAATTCCAGGATATTTTCAGCACCACAAAGAAGAAACCCCTTACCTATTTATAGTCCCTCCCCAATCTCCTTTTCTCCCCAGCCTCTGAAACCACTGCTCTTTCTGTCTCTACAGATTTGCTTGTTCTGGACAGTTCATGTAAATGGAACCATGCAATTTGTGGACGTTTGTGTTTGGCTTCTTTGAGTTAGTATTATATTTTCAAGGTTCATCCATCTTCATACATTCTTTAGTATGTATTAATGCTTCATTCTTTTCTATGACTGAATAATACTTCATTTTGGAATGTAGCACATTTTGTTTATTCCTTTGTTAGTTGATGGACATTTGGGTTGTTTCCACTTTTTGGCTATTTTGAATAATACCGCTCCGAACATTCCTGTACAAGGTTTTGGGTGGATGTATGTTTTCAGTTCTCTTGGGTTTACTTCTTGGAGTGAAATAACAGCATCACAGAGTAGTTCTATGGTTAACATTTTGAAGGAACTGTCCAGTTAATTTCCAAAGTGGCTGATCCATTTTACATTCCCACTAGTGAACTATGGGTGTTCCAGTTTTCCACATCTCCAACAACTGTTACTGTCAGTCGTTTTTTTTTTTTTTATTGTCCTCACCCGAGGACATTTTTCCATTTTTTGTACAGACAGAGTGGGAGGGAGAGAGAGGAAGAGAGAGAGAGGGAAACATCGATGTGAAAGGGACACATCGAGTGGCTGCCACTCGCACGACCAACCAGGGCCGGGGACAAACTGCAGCCAAGGTACATGCCCTTAGCGGGAACCGAACCCGGGTCTCTCCGGACCGCAGGCCGATACTCTAACCGCTGAGCCAAACTGGCCAGGGCGTGTCAGTCGTTTTTATTGAAGCAATCTTAGCAGATACAAAGTGGATACTTACCTCTTAGTTACTTTTGGATATCTCTTCCTTTAGGAAACTTTTCTGAACACTCCTAACTTCTCCCTTCTTCAGGGGGTGTTGACAATCTCTCCTATGTATTTCCATATCACCCCATACTTATCCTGTATCCTCATCGTATGGAATTATAATTATCTGTTAACTTTATCTTCTCCATTACATATGAACGTGGTAGGGAGAATTCTAAAATATTATTGCATATCCCAGGAGTAACATGTATCCGACACAGTTTTTTAGTCTTATCTTTGATGGGGTGGGTGTGGCAAATGGAAATATTCATTGCTATCCCTGTATTTGTTAGCTGATATTTAGTAGTTTGGAGAGAAGACAGGATATTTTTACCCTGTATGTTTGGTTATCTAGAAAGGTATTTCTTCTATACTATTGTGCTAATATCGTATAGTTCCTTAATTTACCAAGAAGTTGGAAGGAAAGTACTGAGGATAGCATGCAATATCTTCATAAGGGGAAAACACCTAGGTAGCTTAAAAAAATATAAACCTACTGGCCATTTTTACTTGACCATTTTGAAAAGCATAATTAATTGAGAACTGACTGTCCTTTAAAGAAAATACTACCAGTTACACATACTAGACTAAAACAATTGCAACTGTAGAGAGATGTGAAGGAGAGTGTCATAAATTTCTAGACCTTCAAAACTAATGCTTAGTTACAAGTATTAGAAATCTGAGATTCATTAGCATCAAAGTTGAACAGATAGGGATCAGAGCTGGGGTTAACAGCTGGAAGTAGGATTAAACATAATTAAAGACTTTAAAAAAGTTTGAATTAAAAAGTTCAATTTGAAGGTTGACTCATACTAAATTATAAAGCCCTGTGCATAAGTACAAATTAAAAGACATTAAATTAGTTCTTTTGAGAATTTCTCTCCGAAAATCTATTTCTCTAAAATCAATATTTAAATGATTTCGTTTCTAGTTGTTTAAAATCCCATAAAGATTTGTTTTATTTCAGTGTATTAGGTTATTCTTAGTTAAAATGAGGTTATCGTTGGCCTAGATAACCATTCCTTTATTTGATAGTGTTTTCAGTGTATTCTTGGAAACTCTATCCAGCTTCTTTGCTATGATTTTTGTATGCTTCTGGAATGAAGAGGAAATGGAGGAGGGAAAGAGAGAGAGAGAAACAAATGTAAGTTGGCCCTAGATCAGTGAGATAGTATCAGATGAGGCCAAAATGAATTTGGCAGATGCTCTTCTCATGTTTCCCACTCGAGCACACACATATTGTTACTTGGAATACCACTTGCATTTCTTTCATACTTAAAAGACTTTTCTTCAGCTTTAGTAATAAACTTTAACTTCAAATAGGAGCCAGGAATGAAGATTGGGGCTTTAAAAAAAAAGTCTAAATGTACGTAGAATAGACATTTTGCTGTTAACAGGGCAGTTAGTAAATAGCACAGTGGATGCATTTTAAGCATAATAATGAAAGTGTGGAGGGGCAAAGATAGCAAAAAGGGGTAATACCTTTAGTGTCATACAGATCTAAGTTTGTGTCCACATTTTATCCCTGAATAGTTTATGACTTCTGCAAATTAATCTGTCTAGTTTTCCTAATGTATAAAATGGGCATATTAATTTTTACTTTATAGAGATGGGATAGTAAATGAATTTAATGTCACAGAGAAGTCACTCAACAAATGGTAGCTGTTTCAAAATTTTCTTATTTACTGGAGGAAAAAAGTGGCTCAGTAATTCTTAGAAAAGAAAAAAGTAAATTTTCTTATCAAAAAATCTTTTTAATATCAGCTGGATATTTTATTCTCATGATGTTCAATTTAGATATAAATGGTAGCTCTGTTTTCCTGGTTCCCGTATATAGACATAGTGGACATAGAAAAAAAAAAGGAAAAACCTCGAGAATTGCAGGAGATAAACTTGTACAGGCAAAATATTACTACAGTACCATTTAGTAATATGTATTTAATGAAAGTTTATTAAATTTGAAAGGGAGTAGAAAGGAGCCATTATTTTATTTCTTGTGCCGTTTAAGTCACTGAAGACAAATGAGAATTAACCTTTTAAAAATACATAATTATATCTATATATTTTCAGAAGAAATATATATTTATTTGCTATGTATCTCAAATATTTATATATGGAATATATGAAGTGTGTGTGTGTGTGTGTGTATATATATATACATACATATATATATATATAAAATATATATATATAAAATATATCTCCAAAGGTAAAAGAGTGAAGTATCCTTCCAAAAAGTTCATTTCCATTATTGTTTAAACATTTATTTAAAAATAAGTTTAGATCACAAGAAAGGGCAAAAATAATAGCGTTTCCACTTAGCTTCCCCTATGATAGTATCTTGAATAACTGTAGTAAAATCAAAACTAGAAAATTTCTAGAACTTAACCCATTCTACTCTTTTTAAATGGAAGAAATTCTTTAGTTCTCACTTAATTGATCTGCAATTAAATATACGTTTTGAGAATCAGTACACTTAACGTAAAGACATGTTGAAGTGATGATGCCATGGGTTGAGTCTTGGCTCTGCCACTTCCTTCTTCCTGTGTGACCCTGAGGACTTTTTTTTAACACCTGTGATGGTCTGTCTCTTCGTCTGTAAGAGGTTATTGTTGGCCTTGCATAATTGTTGTCAGAACTGGCAAGTGTGTGTGCTAACGAGCCTTTTCAATAAATGCTAGTTTTCATTATTACTGTTCTTTTGCTATGTTTTCATCACAGTGGAAAGTAGCTGGTCATCATCTCTAACATGGTAAGTGCACTTTTGCACTTTCTCAATACCTGTGAGTTAAAGGACCAGTAACTGGTAATATACTAAAACAACTTCATGGTTCCTCTGTGTTCATCTC